AGCGTGGCAACAGTAGTGAGGTTGGCCCAGGATCAGGCAGTGTTTTGTTTTGCTGTGCATAGGGTCTCTATGAGTTGGTACTGACTCAGCGGCACCTAACAACAACAGGGAGTGAACAGGTGTCCTGGTGTGGTACTGTAGGATAAGTACTGAACGGCAAGGTCAGTTTGAACTGCACGTTCAGCAGTTCAAACTCACCAGCCCCTCCGCAAAAACCCTGTACAGGGTCACTGAGTCAGAACCAACGGTACTCAACAGTAAGGGAGTGAGCAGCAAAGGCATGGACTTACCTTTGTTGATGGTGCTCAAAGTTGACCATCTCATCAGAATCATTGAGATTCCTGGTCTCATCCCAAACAAACTTGTTATTTCAAACACTCTGGAGCTAGGACCAGGGACTTAACCACTTTTTATCAAGTGCTCTCACTGATTTTTGTGCCCAGTGCATTTTCTCTTTGGAGTCCTTCAAAGTCGTTAGTGACTGGGTCTTCCTTTGACTTCAGTGGGCTCTTTGACACTCTCAAGCTGAGTGTTGTTCATCACAGCCAGCCTATGAAAAGATTATGGGAGCAAATCATTAAGATGATTCTGCGTGGAATCCAAGTGGAAAGACATCGAACCCACAAAGAAAACTAACATGGTGTCATTCTCAGAGAATGCTCCTTGGGATTGTCCAATTTAGAGTGAACTTCAACAGAAATATGGTCAACCAAAAATGCCCTGTGGTCTTGGCAGTTAAGCAGGGTCTCTTAGTTATCAAGAATGTGAGGGGATGAGCAGACTGGAGTCTTAGGGTTAGACCCAATGTTGAAAGAGGAGCCCACTTGAGCAGGGAAGGGTATTACAAGGGTGTACTATGGAGGACTAGTATGGCGCTGTAGGATAAGCAGTTGACCTCAAGGTTAGTTTGAACTGCATGTTTGGCAGTTCAAACTCACCAACCTGCCCTCGGAAATCCTATCTATACATGGTCGCTATGAGTCGAAACCAACTCAACAGCACTTAACAACAACATGGCATGTGTCAAGATCCACAGACCAGGTTAGCACATCATATAGATCAAGGTGTAGCTAAGTCATCGTTGGTACTCCTAGGTACCCCGTGCCTCCACAGCCCCTGGCCAGCTCCTGCCAGCTTCCAGACCCATAAGCTGACCACAGGGAGTGAACAAGCAAAAGCATGGAATTACTTGTTAGCACAGTGTTGAAGTTGCTTCACGGGTGACCATCTTTTCAGAATCATTCAGATTCCTGGTCTTATACAAACTTGTTATTTCAAACACTCTGGAAGTAGGACCAGGAACTCACCTCTGGCTCAGGCCTGTCCTAGCTGGAGTTCCCGGTCCCACTCCTCTGCCCAGACTTCCACCACCTTCCCTGCCGCTTGCTGCCAGGGGAGGCAGCCCAGGGACAAGCCCAGTATCTCTGGGGAAGACATCTGCCAGACTTACCTGCAGGTGGGAGGTGGGAAGGGGCCAGAGGCATTCTCATGGAAATCTTACGTTCTTCTGAGGATAAAAGTAAAATGTGCTTATTCCTTTAAGACCTATCATTTCAAAAGCAAATAAAGTGAAAGTTGTGTAGTCTTTCATTACACCTATTTCCAGAAATAACCAATTTTTTGTTTTCCATTTTGCTGAGTCTCCTTCGAAATCTTTGGGACTTACTTTCATGTTGTGCTTATTTTTATATTGTCCTTTCTGTCTGTCCACCATCCGGTCTGTCAGGTTGTCATAGTGTAGTGGTGGCTTACATGTTGGTGTGATGCTAGAAGCTGTGCCGCTGGTATTTCAAATACCAGCAGGGTCACACATGATGGACAGATTTCAGTGGAACTTCCAGATTCAGGCAGACTAGGAAGATAGGTCTGTAGATCTGCTTCCAAAAATTTGCCAATGAAAGCCCTATGGATCACAACAGAATACTGTATAATACAGAGTATGGACTTGTAGTGTACAATATAGAGTATGGATGGGGCTTGGAAGATGGGCCTCCTAGGTTGGAAGACACTCAAAATACACAGTAGCTACTTACATATATCCACAGTCATGAAGATGGTGCCAAGTCCCATTGTGTTGTGCCTGGGAACGCTGGAAGTCAGAGCTGATGTGGCAGTAACTAACAACCACATGAATTCATATTGTCCCATACTTTCTGTGTTGTCTTTTTTTTTTCCATTTGACAGATTTTCACAGACACTTTCCATAACAGTCCACACAGACTCCTCAGCCTGTTCAGTTGCCCAGGGTCTCATGGCATGGATGTACTGTAGCCTCTTTTGAAGCCAGCCTGCGCCGCTATTCATGAGCGTCTACATTCGGCCGTATTTTGTCATGATAAAGCTTGCAGCAATGACTACCCCAATACCTGCATTTCTTGGTGTCACAGTTTTTCTTCTTCTTTATTTTAACTTTTTATTGTGAATGTTTACCAAGCAAATCATTAGCTTTACATTCAACAAATCATATAGTTCATTTTGTCACAATAAATAATTTTTAGAGCTTTGTGTGTATGTGTGTGTGTGTGTGTGTATGTGGTAACCTTTGCCATTTCAAATTTTTTGCACATACAATTCCGTGGCCTCAATTATGTTTATCATGTTGTGCTTTGCTTTGTTTTGTTTTTGAACATTTTATATGGTTTGGGTGAAAGTTTACAGAGCAAATTAGTTTCCCATCCAACAATGTCTACACATTTTGTTTCATGATATTGTTGTTGTTGTTAAGTGCTGTCAAGTCGATTCTGACCCATAGCAATCCTGTTTAGGGTTTCCCAGCAGCAGCCGGTGAGCTTGAACCACCGACCTTACAGTTCTAACGACTTTGCAGTCTGACACATTAGCCCACAGCACCACACCAGGGCCCTTCATGACAGTAGCTGCTTTTTATGGTTGTTGAAAGTGTACACAGTAAAGCATAAGCCAGTTCCACAATTTCTAAGTGTACAGTCTGTGGGCAATGATGAGATTCTTTCAGTTGTGCCGCCATCCTCACCCTCCTCCGAATTGTTCCTCTACCATGAACTTGAACTCACTGCCTTGTTCAGCTTTCTATCTGACCTTTCAGGTTGCCATTTTCAGTTTGATTTCTACCAGAGCATTCTTCAATACAGCACAGTATCTGAGACAAACAGTCTTTATTAAATGAGTTTGTCTGGTATTTAGTTTAAAGATAACTTCAGGGGATATTTTTGGTTCAAGGTTTAAGGTTTTAAAATTATCCCACGGCAACAGTTTTCAGGAATTCATCCAGCCTCGATGTCTCCTGAAAGTCTGGATTCCATGAGAATTACATCTGCTTTTTTAAAGGATTTAAATACCTGACAAAGGAGTCCTGGTGTGGCGCTGTGGGTTAATGCACCAGACTACAAACCCTTTTGAACTGCAAGGTTGGTGGTTCAAGCTCACCAGCAGCTCCTCAGAAACCCTATACAGGGTTGCTATGGGTTGGGCCGACTCTATGGCACTTCACAACAACTACAAGGTACTCTTAACCATCCCTCACTTAACCACATGACCATGCCTCTCTGTTCATAGCTAGTAAATTGCTCTCTCAGAACCTGTACACTTCTGTTTCCAGCTGGTTCACTTAGGTACCTACCTGGAGTGTGTTTGTTGATGAATCTGTATATTTCAGTGGAATTTGTTATTATAATTTTGTAATTTACTCAATTAGTACACAAGACAAAGGAATATAAGTGGGAAAAGAGTTGCTTTTAAATAGTGTTTTATTGTTTTGATCCCCAACTTAAACTAAAACTTTTTGGGTTAACTGTCTACTTACCTCAGTCCTATCAGATACAATGGCTTCTACTGCCACATAATCTCCCTCAGTAATGTCTGTGACTTGTATCCATTTTAAATCTGCCTTGCCAAAGTTGTTTCTGGCATATCTCATAGCTGTTTGGTTTGTTTGTAAATTGGATTACCTTTTCACTTTATAAATGCTTAAGAACCAGACATGCCTTATCTAGAATATTCAGTGTGCAAGTCGTTCCCAATTTATGACGCATTCAAGTTATGAGGAATCACTCTACGATCATCTGTTTTTTTAGTACATTATCCTTAGTAATAGGCGCTACAGATACTGTTGCAGCGTGTGATTTGCTGGTGCTGTTATCCTCAGATGTACATTTACAGATGTTCAGTGTTATGATTTATAAATATACTGATACTAAAAGGCAATAATAATGAAAAACTCAAGTATCCGACTTAGGTCAGAACCAACCAATGATGGAGTACTTGGAATGGAATCCCATCATAAATAATGAGACCAGAGCTACCTATAAAATACTTTCATAAAAGTTGATTGATAGATTCTGTTTGAAAGCATCGAGCCATTTTAAGCTTTTGTGATGCCTACAGAGACACTTTGCTTAACTTCCTCCCATAGAAATCATGACCGCTCCCTTTGAATGAGAGCGAAAGTCCTTGTACAAGCATCTCACCTAAATCAACATCCAGTGTGATTTTAAAGCCCCTTCAAATTCTGCAAACCCTTTGTGAGAATTCTGCAGGGACTTAGAATTCCTATGTGTAGTTGCACATAGGAATGCATCTGTATGTTGACTGTAGAGGTATCTCTGATTGTGTCTTAATTCATGAAGAATTAAGTCATATAGATTTCATTCAACAAATATTGATTGGGTGCCAACTGTATGCATACCAGTTGGCTGGCAGCTGCTGGAGCTGCGACTAAGCAGAGTGGGTTATCACTGTTCCCAGCATGCTTGTGACCTGGTTTAATGCCCGAGCGGCTAGAAAACTGCAGAAAGGCAGCTTACTCAACATCAAGCTGGTCTGGCCATTTGTGTGGCTGGTCATGGCACCAGGATCTTCTGAGACAAGAGGCAAGTTTTCTTGTGAAATCTGTGAATTCTCTATGGTGTGTTCTTCGAGACACACCCATTGAACCTAAGTATTTGTTCCACTTAAACTGTAAGCCACCTGACAAAGCACTGTGGAGGTGACAAGGTATCTCATTGCTGTGTTTTCTCTTCCAGGATATCAGTGAGTGTATTCTTGAGAACTACCCCGAGTGTTCCAACCCCAGGTTATTTTACATCATCCCGTACTTTTGTGGACAGCATCCCAGATGCAGGTAAAGATTCAAACAGCCATAGCATGCTAATGGGCACAACAATAGCAGACACCCCACCAGGGTCGCACTCCGGGTGGGGCTCTGGGACCCCTCTCCTCCCAAACTTCTGGAATTCAGCTACTATTTATTGTCAATCTGTAAAGATATTATTCAGGATCATTATGTCCTGTAAGAAGAAAATCAACAAGTCATACTCTCCCAGATGCTTTAGGAGATGCAACATAAAGCCACCCAGTATCTCCTTTAGACTTCAACCCAGGGGTCACCACTGAGCCCAAGCAATAACAGGTCGGGTCAGGCCCCCCACAATGATGGTACACGGGGAATAACTGTCCCTGCCCTTGGGGGTATGTCTAATAAGGTGTGGAGTCACTTGAAGCTCATAGCCAGTTCTTACTGGGGTCTTTCTCCTGAAACATACTTAGTAGAATGAGAGGAAATCAATCAGGTGTGAGACCTTCGTGAGAAAAGCTACTTACTCAGATTGTACAGGTCCTGTACAATCTCACGAAGGACTCTGTAGTCTTATAACTGTCGGCATCAGCATCGCTGAATACAAACCAAACCCACTGCTAACAAGGAGATCCCAGCTCATCGATACCCTGCCAAACAGACTAGAACTTCCTCAGTTTCCAAATCTGTAAATTTTCAGGGAAGCATCCGCCTCATCTTTCCATATACTATATGCTTATAGTGCCATTGAGTCGGTTCTGACTCATAGTGACCCTGCATAGAGTTTCCGAGGAGCAACTGATGGGTTTGCAGTGCTTGATTGTTGCTATTGTTAAGTGCTGTTGAGTCGGTTCTGACCCATAGTGACCCTGTATAGGGTTTCCAAGGAGCAGCTGGTGAGCTTGAACCACCAAAGTTCAAACAACTTTGCAGTCTGACGCATTAGCCCGCAGCGCCACACAAGGAATCCCTGCTTGATAAGAACCCCTAAATCTCCCAGGGGTCCCAGTCTCTGAGGCTGAGGTCCAGTCATTTGTAACCTCTTCCCCGGGTAATTCTGGTGTTGCTACAGTTGAAATCCACCATGCTACGTGGATGTAGTACCCTGGAGAAGTAACCGTAGTAACAATGAATCATTATAGAGAAGAAACAGTAGTAACAATGAATCATTATCTTTGGTGGAAACTAAAGCATGTTATCAGAGATGACATTTTTTCCCCCAAAGGAAACTAACTGCTTGGAATGTAGTTATGTTCTGGAGGGCCGTGGGAGACAACTGTTTCTAAATTACAATCCATCCTCTGTGCTTTTATGCTCCCACTGTGTTACCTGTTGCTGTTGTTGTTGCTGTTCTGTTCCATTTACACAACACTGTCTTCACAATCAGAATTCTGACAGTTGGAGTGTCCGTTTTCTGCTTCATGAAACACCTCCTGAGTTCAGGATGTCCCCAGCCCCTTTCCTCAATAATGAACGTCTTCTAGTCCAGGGTCGTTTTGAGTCAGAACTGACTCAACAGCACTTAACAACAGTCCAGGGACAGGAGTCCTGCACTTGACTGTGAACCTTAAAGGCCTGGGATTCAAAGCCACCAGGTACTCTGAGGGAAAAAGCTCCTGCCATCTGCTTCCATAGTACAGATTGTTGTTGTTGTTAAGTGACGTTGAATTGGTCTGACCAATAGTGACCCAGTATAGGGTTTCTGCAGAGCAACTGGTGAGCTTGAATGAACTGCTGACCTTGCAGTTCAAATGGCTTTGCAGTCTGGCACACTAACCCACAACACCACACCAGGACTCCATAGTAAAGTTTACAGCCTTGAAAACTATGGGGCGCTTCTACTTCATGATATAAGGTTGTTATGAGTCAGAATCGATCAGTGGCCACTAGTTCAGTTTGGTTTTGTAGTTCAGGGCCAGTGCTTGGGATCCTGGGAGGACTGGAGCAGATGACTCCTTTTCTGATCACAAGAAAGATATTTAAAGTGTGATTTTAATGCCCTAACATATTCTTTAAATTAGACATTTCCTAATCTTAGGAGAGTCCTCATGATACCTTACGTCAGTACACATGTATTCATTTCTAAAGCACTTTCAAAATGTCATATTCTTTAGCATTTATCACAATTCTTTGAGCTAGGTAAAGGCTTTTATGACCTTTCTTTTTTTTTTTCTTTTCAAAAGAGGCCCCTTTTCCTGCCCAAATTCTTCCAAAGAGTGAATGACAGGCCTGGGCTGCCCTTACTCATCTAAGTGCTGCTGGCTCAGAAACCTGGTCAACAGAAGGGGTAGACTAGATCCCTCTGAGCATTACACTGGACCACAAGGTCGGTTTGACCCACAAGGTAGACTGTTCAAACTCACCAGTCGCTCCTTGGAAACCCTATAATGGGTCACTATGACTCAAAACCAACTCGAAGGCACTTAACAAAAACAACATTATTTAAAAAAAACGGAGTCCTGCTATGGCACTATTGGATAAACACTGGACTACTGACCACAAGGTCAGCAGTTCAAACTCATCAGCCATCCCTCAGAAACCCTCTGCTAGGTTGCCATGAGTTAGAACTAATTCTATAGCCCTTAATAAAATCATTTTTTTAAGAAAAGAAAAATTGTCTTTTAAACTCTTTTATGAATACTGGTAGCGTCGTGGTTACGAATCAGGTGGTGAACCGCAAGGTCAGCAGTTCAAAACTACCAGCTGCTCCGCAGGAGAAAGATGAAGCTTTCTGCTCCTGTAAAGATTTACAGCCTCGGAAACCCTGTACAGGCTCGCTATGAGTCGGAACCGACTCCACGGCACATAACAACAACAATGAATACAAAAATTGGCAGATATGACCTGAAACCACTTTTTATTTCTGCAGAAACAATGTCTATACATTTTATATTTTACAACTTCTGACTACATATGGTCCCCTTATTATAAAAATATTCTTATCACCTTGACCAGTGTGTTTATAAGTACCTAACTACCTGTGGACTCCTGGTGTGGTGCTGTAGGATCAGCACTAGTCTGTGAACCACAAGGTTGGCAGTTCAAACCCACCAGCTGCTCCTCAGAAACCCTAGGCCATGTCCCTATGAGTCAGAACCAATGCAATGGCATTTAACAATAAACAACAACAACTACCTGTGTCTCCATTCTTCTTCCAATAAATATTTAGGAAGAGCCCACTGAGTTCAAGGCCCTGGGCTGGGCATTATGTCCAGTTGAAAAGGTTAGAGGCCAAGAGAGAGGTTCCCCAAAAGTGCGGTGGGAAGGGGAGGAGACCAGGGACCCACAAGGGAGGCCCAGAGAGTGTTGTGGAGGAGGCTGCATTGGGCAGGTCCTTGCAGGAAATAGGATGTGAGCTTATGTAAATGAGGAGGGAGAGGTTGTTGCTGAATCTTTGATTTAACTATGATTTTTGTATCCACCAAGGGAGCCTGGTGAGTGGGCCTTGGAAAGAGCGAAAGTGAACGTGAATGAAAACTTCCTTCTTGTGGGGATTCTTGAGGAGTTGGAAGATGTGTTGCTTTTACTGGAGAGATTTTTACCTCATTACTTCAAGGGTGTGCTCGGCATCTACAAAAACCCAGGTAACTCCTTTCATAAGCCAGCTCTTCGTGGTGAGAGGTCTGTTTCGGGGCTCATGCATCTTGAGAAGGACTCTGGACATCAAGGAGAGTGGGGTTCTGATCCTTTAAATTAAGACAATCCCTCCTAAGACTGGATCCAAAACCTGGAGTTTGGGTTCACACATAAATTTACCATGTGTCTAAAGGCTCATTACAATGTCCCTTGTCTCCCTGTTTCTGTTGTTAACTTTTATTTGTATTTTTTTAAAACTTAATTTACTCCCAAACCATAAGTTTTGTTTTTTTCAGTTTCTTCTGGGATAATTTTTTTTCTTCTGTGCAACCTCCTCTTCTGGTTTAGGAACAATTTGTTCCATTTCAGTGAGGATCATCTCAATATGGCAGGGGGAGCTCATGTAGGGGTTGATCTGACCATGAGCTCTGAAAGTTCTGCAGCGCATCTTTGGGTCTGTGTTGACCCAGATGTGCTCAATGACCAGAGACTCCTCCTCTAAACCCTTAAGTTCAGCATTCCTCTCTGAATTTTTAAGCAAAAATTCAACTATTTTTGAACCACCGACCCTGTGTCCAGCCCCACTGTTTGGCCTGGGTACACTGACAGATACTACCATTGTAATGTCAGAATGGTACACATTGCTTCTGCAAAGTGACATCTTTTAAATACTTAGGAGCTTTTCAGATATGCACACCCTTGAAGGTCTGGGCAACATCATGGGTGTTCTTAAAGTGGACCCGGAGATTTGAAACTCTTTATTTGCAGGCTTTTGAAAGGTTTTCTGGGTCAAGTGTGTAGTGAACCATTTTGTGAGATCAGATTACTTACAGAAAGGAAGAGCCCTGATCTCCCTTTGGAAACTGCAATCGGCAACATTCTCCACCAACCTCATCCTGAGCATGTTGCTAGGGGAGATAAACGGATACCCACGTATGCACCAAGGAGCTCTTTGAAAGAAAGGTGTGTGGAGATGGTGGCACCGTGTTTGTGATGAGGTAGCTCTGACCCCACTTGCATTTGGCAGAAGCACTCTGGTGTGTGAAGCGCTAGCAGTAGAGTAGATGGAGCATCAAATTGAAAATACACTTTAGATTGTTGCCTAACAAATGGAGCAGTTTCCAAATTAAAGCAAGAAATGGACTGAAGCAGCTACGAGAGTTGGCTATACTGTTGTAAATATGATTGCTTTCAGAAATCCATCATTTAGTTTTTGCACGATCGTTATTTTTTTAATCCTGGGAGGGAGACGAGCAACACCGCATTTCGTTCCCTGTCTCCAGTCTGCTTTCCAGAATTAAGCACTCACTGGCTTCTTGTTTGGCTTGGTTGTCTGTAACTGGGAGATAGCATTCTAGAATCCTGGTGTGGCGCTGTGGGATAATGCACTGGACCACAAGCAAGGTCGGTGGTTCAAATTTGCCAGCCTCTCCTTGGAAACACTATACAAGATCACTGTGAGTTAGAACCGACTTGACGGCACTTAACAACAACGTTCTGGCGTATAGAAATAAGAAAATCCTGCCTCACCTACCGCCTTGCGCAAGCAAGGCCCTGGAGCCACACCTGCATCCTTAGCAGGTCTCAAATCCAGATCAACAGGACCCTCCCTGGATCTCCTTACATAGGTGGCCTCTTACCATTAGTGATGAGCTACAGGAAAACGAAGGAACTCTGGAAGTGGATTACTAGCTGGGCTGTTAACCACAAGGTTAGCAGTTCAAATCTATCAGCCACTTTCTGCTCCCATTAAGATTTACTGTCTCGGAAACCCTATACAGGGTCACTGTGAGTCAGAACCCTCTCGGTGGCACAGAGGAAAATGAGGAGCAGTTCAAATCTCAGGACAAAGATGTGGTGGGGCAGTTCTACCCTGTCCTATAAGGTCTCTGTGCGTTGGCATCGACTTGATGCGGTGGGTTGGGTTGGGTTCTGTATTGGAGGAGCCCTGGTGTGGGTAAGGAGCATTCCTGCTAACTGACAGGTTGGTGGGCAGTTTGAACCCATCAGCTGCTCTGCAGGAGAATGATGCAGCTTTGGAAACCCTGTGAATCAGTTCCCCCTGCCCTCTCAGGCAGCTATGAGTTGAAATTGACTAGGATAAATCACAACTCACCTACGTGTGGAAACTTGATAGAAAACCTCAAGATGTGTCTGTAGGTGTTTCCACTCAGCAGGAAAAGTGGTCTGAACATCTGGAAGCATCGTAACCCTTAAACACCTGCTTGCTGAAATTAGGCCTCCCTTGGCTCTAGAAACCAAAATTGAAGAGCCCCACCGTGGCCTGTTGTCAGCATTAGAGGACAACAGAACCTCTGCCCTTTGCGAGGAGAGACCTCATCCTGAGTTAGACTCCTTTGAAGAAAAAGGTTTACTTTATTCGTTGTTATTTCTTCCATTGGTGAAATACTTTTGTATAGCATGTGTGTTTCTTGTTGTTGTTAAGTGCCATCAAGTAAGTTCTGACTCATAGTGACTCTGTATAGAGTTGCAGAGGAACGGCTGGTGGGTTTGAACCACCGACCTCATAGTTAGCTTATCCTACAGCGCCACACCAGGATTCCACGTGTGTTTGTACATGATGACGAATAAAACAGCACACACTTGTCTCAGTGTTTGAGACTTATTGTTGTATAACGAGGCCTTGTGTGGTACCCATTGTTAAGCACTCAGGCAACTCAGAGGCACCTCAGATGAAAGGCCTGGTGAGCTAATTCTGAAAACTCAGGCACACAACTGTATGGAGCACAGTCATGCTCTGCACACATGTGTCTTCAGGAGTTAGAATTGACCCAACCACAGCTGGTTTGTCAAGTCTCAGTTAAGCCCCGTCCTTTATATTGCATTGTTATCCATCTGGGGACCTGGAGCTGATGCTAATCACGTGATGCCTAATCCAGCACACCAGATGTCAACCTCCAGAGGGCATGGACCTGAGAATTCAGACAACTTTTGTTTTGTTTTACTGCAGTAAAATACACTTAACATAAAAGTAATGATTTTAAGCATTTCAAAGGGTTCAATTCGGTGACATATTATATTCACACCATTGCGAAACCATCATTGTCTAGTTTCAGAACATTTTCATCCAAAAAGAAATCCATACCCAGTGAGCAGCTCCTCTCCATCCTGCTTCTCCCCAGTCTCTGACAAACACAAATTAGGACAGCCCAAAAAATGTTAGTCTCTGCAAAGATAGTTGTTGTTGTTACATGCCTTCAAGTTGGTTCCAACCCATAGCAACCCTGCAGTGGGTTTCTGAGGAGTTTGAACCACTGACTTTGTGATTCAAGCAACTTTGTAGTCCAGTGCATTAACCCACAGCGCCACACGGTAAGTCCAAGTGTGTTTTTACATGGCCACAAACCAGCGGGGTAATGTCAGTGCGGTTCATAGAAGTTACCAGTTACTTTAGTCACCATGGCTCTTCCTCTGCCCATTGTCAGTCTAGGTTTACATTTGATACCACTCTGAACCCATTGCTTTTACCTTTGATAAAAGAATTGTATAGCTGAGTAGACTGGAGAACAGATGGAAGAGAACCTAATTTCTAAGTTACTGGGGGATTGAGTGACTTTGTTCTCGTTGTTGGTAGGTGCCATCGAGTTGGTTCTGACCCATAGTGACCCTATGTGTAACAGAATAAAATGCTCTCCAGGCTGTTTTTTTCTTTGGGCGTGTCTTGTTTTGTTTTTTAAAATGCAAGTGTGTGCTGATTATTTTTTAATGTTTTAGTGTGAATTATGTGATAGTTTATGTGCTGATTTTTAAAAGTTTCTTTCCAGAAATCCTAGGAACATCTATACCTGTCTCATGACACTTAAGGAAAAAACACACAAAAAAACCTCACATAAATAACTGTTTTGGGAGTTAGTAAACATAATCATGTCTCTTAACCAAATGGGCTTTCCCATATTCTCGATTGGAATGATATTTATCAATGCTTTCCAGTCAGCACTACTTCTTACAATAAACCCAGCACTTAGAAAAATAACTTTTAAACAACGGTGTGACTGTTCATCTCCCCTGTCCATTTCTAGCAGGAAGTCATCCATGTGGACATCAAGAAAATTTGCCTCCTACCAAAACAGTTGAGAAACCTAGCTTTTAGAAATGAAAAAAAAATAGTCAACAAGCGTTCTTTTCTATTTATGTTTGCAATTCTGGTGAGAGTCCACTAGCACATCTCAGATGAAGCTTATGGTAGTAACTACTCAAGATGAAGTCAAATTTAAAGTTTTGGTGGGATGGGTCCCCAAGAGATGGCCCTTAGGTATTTCCTGCCAGCTGGTGGCCACTTGCTGATGCTTTAGAGTAAGCTCTCAGTCACTCTGCCAGCGCTGGGTTTGAGTTTGAATGACAGAGAAACCAGGACAAGAGTGCCCTCACTGATTTAACATGTAGTTTTCTATTCTATTTATTGATCTCTGCTTTGCTTTCTAATGTCTTACTACCTTTTAAAAATCAGAAACTGAAGCCAGTCCAGGAGAATGATCCATAGTCGTCCACCAAAAGGTGGGAAGAAGGAACAAGACTTGCATGTTTCTGAAGATGAATTATTTGCTAATTCTTGATATCTTTTGCTCTTAAAAATTGTGCTGTGAGCTATCAGTGTTTTTCTTAGTCATAATTCCTTTAGCAGCTAAAATCACAGTAAAGGTCAAAACAAATAAGCATATTAATGAAAAGCAGGGAGCATGAGATTATCTGTGATAGGGACGACACTCATTGGAACATTCTTTTCTAAGCTGGTTCTGGCTTTATAGAGCCACCTAGTGTCCAGATACGGAACCATATAAGCTAATACCTCTATCTTTTCCTTCTGGTGACTTGTGGTTGTTGTTGTTAGGTGCCATTGAGTCAGTACTGACTCATAGCGATCCTATGCACAGCAGAACAAAACACTGCCTGATCCTGGGCCAACCTCACAATTGTTGCCATGTTTCACCCCATTGATGCTGCCACTTGGCCAATCCATCTCTCTGGCGGGGTCTTCCTCTTTTTCTCT